CAATCTGTTCTCCTCCATTCTCCTCTCGGAACTCTGGGCATGCTCACACTTGCGCCTGGTGTGATTTTCAAGCAGCCAGGTCCAGGACTTGAACCATTCGTTTGGCCATGAGGAATCCAGCCTCCCCATCCTCCATGCCACCTGCTGGATCCCCAAAGTCATTAGTTTAAAGAAAGGTTAAAAACAAACTTGGCAGGCAGGCTGTGGCACAGTGGTGACGCACTGCTCAACTGGAGCTGGACCCATGTGGGGACCTCAGGTGGGAACACGGGGCACACGCTGAGTGCCCAAGATCGAAAGGGCTGGAGGACTGGAGGGAGGGGATTGTGGCAACGCCCAGACCCTTGTAAAGGGTGCTGCTGGCTTGCTCTCGCTCGCTGTGTCTCTTTTCTTTTTTCTTTTAGAGAGGTTTTTGCTATAGGGTGCAAGCGCTCGCCAGAAAGAGAGACAGAAAGTGAGAAATCACCCCCCGGGGGGATGGCCACACTGCAATCCCTTTTGCTCCATTCTCCTCTCGGGATCTTGGGCACACATGCACATATGCCCAGCGTGAATTTAAGCCACCGGGTCCGGGACGCGAACCGCGGTCTACTACATGGGAGTCCAGTGGCACAGCCATTATGCGAACTGCTGGTCCCCTCTCTCTGTCTCGTAAGTCTCACACGCATGTGCTCTAGCACGAATAACAGGAAAAAGAAACACATTCACGAGCAGGACCTTGCCCAAAGTCAAGAGCAAGCCACAGAACTAGGCCTCAGTTTCGTGACCTCTGGTTCTTCTTTTTTTATTCGGAGAGGTTTTTGCTATAGGGAGTGTGCACTTGCCAGAAAGACAGAGACAGACAGAGAAACAGAAAGCAAGAAATTGCTCCCCAGGGGGCATGGCCACACTGCAATACCTTCTCCTCCATTCTCCTCTCGGGATCTTGGGCATGCACGCACACGCGCCCGGCGTGAGTTTAAGCTAGCGGGTCTGGGACTTGAACCACGGTCGACTACATGAGAGTCCAGCGACATAGCCATTATGCGAACTGTTGTCGACCTCTGATTCTACCTGTAGTGTTTCAGCTTACATGCGCTGTGGGTTCAGACTTGGGCTCTACTACTTATTTTCCATGTGAACTTGGGTCAAGTCATCAGTTTTTATAAGCCCCACATGAGGCTAATAATAGCACCTACCTTAAAGAGATGTGCAAGGATCCACTGAGGTGATGCCCATAGATACTGCACAGGGCTCGTCAAACCACACAGAGCTCACGAAACCACGCAGAGCTCATGAAATGTGACTTATCATGTATACGTCCCACTTCCCGCCTGCCAGCAGGGCAGTGTGTCTAGGAATGCTGTGCTTCCGCGGCTCTTAGCTGCTTCTTCAAGGCAAGCATGCACTGTGGGTGCGAGAGCCGGCCTGTCTCTTGCCCTGACCCGTCTGCCCAGCCTGCCTTGTCCTCCCCTGACGAACACGCCCAGTACTCCAGCCACACCACGCCCCTCTCTACTTTTGCTCAGGCTGGTTCTTCTACATGAAATGCATTAGATAGGAGCCAGAGACCGAGACAGGGAAAGTGAAGTCGCCCGGCAGGATGAATGGCCACACTGAAATCACTTCTCCTTAACCGCCACGCCACCTGCTGGCCTGAAAAACACCAGGTTTTTAAGAGAAAATGTTAAGTCAAGCCTTTCTTTACCCGGGTCCCCCAAGATGGCACACACGCCATGCCCTTACGCCTCCTATAATCGTGTCTAGCAAATCATGCTGCAGTAGATTAACTGCCTCTTATCTAAGGCTACCTTGTCAACCCAATCCCAACCCCTCCCCTTCGCTCAATGCCGTTGCTTCAGCAATTCTCCCCCTTGCTCTGATACCAGGTGGCGTGGTGGTTAAGGGCACCTGGCCAACCACAATTCGAGCCCTGGACCGGGCAGCTTGCTTTCTTCCTTTCCCTTTCTCTCTCTCACTCTCGCTCTGTCCCTCTCTGCTCGAATTAAAATAAATAAAGTTAAGATAATTCTTAAAAAAAAAAACCAACAACACTTGGTATATCACATCTCCTCACTGCTATATCACTCTTATGCTGTTAGCTCTCCCATCCAAAAAGCGCCCTCTCTGGATTCACCTCCTGCTCCAGCTCTTGCTCTCCTTATTTTTTAAAATACTTACTTACTTGGAACCTGCAGATGGTGTTAATGGTTGTGCCAGAGGGCTCCCACATAGTCAAGCAGGTTCGAGGCCTGGACCCAGCGACTTAAAATTCACTCTGGGGGTAGAGCCGGCAGGTGGCGTGGTGGCTAAGGGCACTGGATTCCCACATGGCCAACTACGGTTTGAGTCCCGGACCTGGCAGCTTGCTTTCTCACACTCTCTCTCGATCTCTTTTTCTCTCTCTGTCCCTCTCTCGTCAAATTAAAAAATGAGTAATAAGTTAAATTAAATGAAATAATTTTAAAAGAAATTCACACCAGGTATGTGTGCATGCATGCCCAAAATCCTGAGAAGAGAATAGAGAAGAGATTGTGATGTGGCCATCCCTCCGGGGGAGTAATTTCTTGCTTTCTGTCTCTCTGGTAACATGTGCCCTATAGCAAAAATCTGTCTCTAGAGAAAAAAAAGAATTGTTTAATTTTTAAATGATCATTATTATTATTAAATTTGCTATAGAGCACATGGCCATGCCACAATCCCTTGTCCTCCATTTAGTTTCCTCTCAGGATTTTGGGCACACACATACAAGCACCCAGCATGATTTTCAATCTGCCAGGTCTAGGTTTTGAACAGTGGTTGGACAAGTGGGAGTCTAGCACCTAACCACCATGCCACCTCTAGGCCCCAACAATCTCTTTTTTTTTGAGAGGTTTTCGCTATAGGGTGCGTGCGCTCGCCAGACAGACAGAGAGAGGCATAGAGACAGAAAGCGAGAAATCACCCCCCAGGGGGGATGGCCATGCCACAATCCCTTCTCCTCCATTCTCCTCTCAGGATCTTGGGCGCGCACGCACACGCGCCCAGCTTGAGTTTTAAGCCACCGGGTCCGGGACGCAAACCGTGGTCGACTACATGGGAGTCCAGCGACATAGCCATTACGCTAACTGCTGGTTCCCCCAACGATCTATTCTTAACACATAGAAGTGACCGATTTTTTTAAAAAAGAAATATTTTATTTTACTTTATTTATTTGTTTTTGAGAGGTTTTTGCTATAGGGCATGTGTGCTCGCCAGAAAGAGAGACAGAGAGGCAGAAAGTGAGAGACAGAGAGACAGAAAGCGAGAAATCGCCCCCCGGGGGGGATGGCCACGCCACAATCCCTTCTCCTCCATTCTCCTCTTGGGATCTTGGGCATGCATGCACACGCACCTGGAGTCAGTTTAAGCCACTGGGTCCGAGACTCAAATGGCAGTCAGCCATGTGGGAGTCCAGCGACATAGCCATTACACCATCTGCTGGTCCCTTATTTACTTATTTTAATTTGGACAAATTTTGCCAAAGTGATCCTGTTTTTTGGGGGGGTTTTTTTGGGGTTTTTTTTGAGAGTTTTTTGCTATAGGGTGCATACACTCGCCAGACAGAGAGAGACAGAGAAACAGAAAGCAAGAAATCACCCCCCAGAGGGGATGGCCATGCCGTAATCCCTTCTCCTCCATTCTCCTCTCAGGATCTTGGGCACGCATGCATACGCGCCCGGTGTGAGTTTTAAGCCACTGGGTCCGGGACGTGAACCGCGGTCAACTACGTGGGAGTCCAGCGACACAGCCATGACGCTAACTGCTGGTCCCAAAGTGATCCTGTTTTGCATGTACAGTGAAAGCTCAAGTCCCTGTGGCAGCCTCTAGGCCCATGATGTCCTTCCCCTGTTGCCTCTCTGATCTCATCTCCAGCACGCCGACGCCCACCCCCACCTGTCACCAATGCTGCTCTAGCCCCATCAGCCAGCTCATCCTCCAGGCACAGGGCCGCCTTGCACTGGCTGTTTCTCTGCCTGGGAGACTCTCCAGAGACTACTTGGCTCTTATGGCTCTCTCTCTTCCTTTGAGCTCCTGTTGAAATGACACTTTCTCAGTGAGGCCTTCCCTGGTTATCCCATTTAAGCCTGCAGCTCTATCCACTCCCACCCCACCTTGGCACTCTGATGCCCTCCTGCTTGCTCTCACGTTTCCATAGAACTTATCTACCAGAACGTATGCTCTACTTGTCTGTAATGTCTCTGTGTCTCCCAACTAAAACATAAACTCCACAAAGGCACACACTTTTGTCTGTTTCACTGAGCAAAGTATTCCTAATGCCTACAACAGTGTTGGGTGCTCAAAAAATATTTATTGAAAGAATGGATACTTTTTTTTAAATTTTTGCTGTAGGGCATGTGTGCTCATCAGAGAGACAGAAAGAGAGAGAGAGACAGAAAGTGATAAATCACCCCCCAGGGGGAAGGCCATACCACAATCCCTTCTCCTCCATTCTCCTCTCGGGATTTTGGGCGCACACGCACATGTGCATGACGTGAGTTTTAAGTTGCTAGGTCTGGGACCTGAACCACGGTCAACTAAGTAAGAGTCCAGCAACATAGCCATTACGCCACCTGCTGGTCCCAGAATGGATACATTTAACTGCTCTTACAAGAATGCCTTCCCAGATTAGACTAAATACAACAAACAAGACCACCTTTCGGAATTAGACCAAAATTCCCTAAGGACAACCAATGCATATTCTTCTTCATAAATGCTGGCTGAATGAATGAGGAGCAGCCTTGGTGAAAACGAGGAGGCACAAGAGCTGACCGCTCTGGGGTGAAGATTTCGGTAGGGAACAGACCATGACAGACTCACAGTAAGCGAGGGTGAAATGGCTGCAGGGTGGGAGACAAAACCACAAACAGACCTACGTTGTATAAAATGAACGCTACACGATGACAGCAAGGAGCTCTTGGAAGCCACCACTTCTTAGCCCCCCAAAATAAATGAATTCAGTGGGCATGCCCCCTGGGGATCTGCTCTCTGAAACCTCTAACCTGCGGGACTGTGGTCTCCAGGTTGTAGTGCTTATTCAGGAACTTCAGCAACTTCTGCGAGGGTCGGTCGATGGCCAGCTGGTGTGGCTCAACGCGCTCCTTCTGCAGGGAACAGGGGGCTCAGGGTGGGAGGAGATACGGGGAGAGCATGCCAACAGGAACTCAGGAGCCTGGGAAGGGAACAGGAGGATAGGGAAGTACAGGGATGGGGGGGGGGGGG